AAATGCTTGAACGACATTTCAATTCAGACGTCAATATTAAATTACTCGAAATATCCAGTGCTGAGTCGATCCACTTCGCTCCGAGCAAAACATTATCATTAAGACGGGCGCCACTGGAAATGAACGATTACGTTCGAAAAGTCTCGGTTATGCTGTCCACGAATGTTTTCATTGACAATATTGTAGTTACTGGATACTTGAAAATGCATGATGGCATTCTTGATACTGTTACTACCGCCACAAATCCTAACCTACTTATTACGTCAACCACATCTGAATTTCTTTCCGATACTGATAATATGGTCATGTCAACGCAGTCAGTTAGTCTCACGGATAAGAACGTATCTGAAACTATTCGCTATTCGCACGACACAAACAATTTCGAGATCAAACCCTCTCTTTGGTGGTTTATAATTAATCGTTTTGGTCCACTTAGTTCGCTCGTCATTTGCACATTTCTTCTCATATTTGTTCTCACCATGTATTTACATTACAGGAAGAGTGGAATAAAAACATTTACGATCCATTACAAAATATGATCAAATCGTACAACAAGAGACAGGGTTTGTCCCTTGATTACATGTCGTGTTAGGCACTGTCCTTCATCACTAGGAACATATTGTGATTGTATACAGCTTTCTTCATCTCCAAAAGGAGTCTAAAATCGTATTTGCTTCTCTGAAAACATTGTATTCTTCCATTGCAGATCATATAATCAGTACTTGTTCTCATTGTTGACTTTTCTTTTTTGCATGATATTGTTTAACAGATGCGATAACCACAAGTTGTTTTATACACTATTTCGGCTTATATCGGCTTTGTTTTTATGTAAAATGATAAATGTGTATAATCGTTATTCAAAAGAAAAATTGTTGACAGTCTTTTATATATTTTGTTAAAGACCTTCTTTTGCTCGAGAATATAGTACGCACTAGCTGTGCATGAGCCTCATTTTTCATCTGATGGTGGTGTGGTATATTTCGTTCTTTGTATGAGCTATCGTTTTAAATTTTATTTGACAGTGGTAGGGCTAATTAAAATTAGTATGTCCATGACCATGATACAACATTAATTACAGTCCTCCTGCCCTGGTCAATTGCCACATTGTCGAAAATATCATGTGTTTTAAAAATTGTTTTTTGCATTTTGCATTATTTTAGTTTTTGCAGTTTTCGAAGACTGTTAATAAATTAACAAACCGTCGAGAGTTTAATGTCATCGTACGCCTACACAGATTTTCCAAACACAGAATGACGAAAGGGACTAAAAGTGTTAAAACTCTATTTTTTATTTAACATTCAAAAACTGTTTTATCTATTCCATTTTGCGTGCTGATCACGTTTATTCTGAATGCAAACGATATTACCCTGGCAAAACTTCATTTTGGATCGAAGTTTTTCGTAATTTTATCCTTCTGACTTATTTTCTAGCACATTTTCTAACAGCGATTAAACATACTATTAATAAACTAAACTTATATATCAATGTTTATCTTTATTACCGAGTTACTCCAATTCGATTAACTGAACTTTCATAGAAAACTATTTCATAGAAAAATAGTTCATTGAAAATATTTTTGACTCTTGGTTCATAGTTTTCCCTCTCAAAAAGAGCTTTCCTATGCACTATCTCGGCTCTGCTCTCGTAATCATACCCTATAGTGAAAAATTTCGATAAGTATCTTTCGATAAAATTCCTTTTAATGAAAGTTCTCACTACCCTTGAATTCACGGAAGAGAGATTCGTGCACGTCAGAGCTGGAACCTGACCGACCGGTTATCGGCCCGGTCCGGTTGAACTTTTCAACTGTCCGATTAACACCGGTTTTTTTACCAGTTTAACCACACTTCAACCGATCGGTTGCTGCCGGTTTCGAAATATGAATACTGTAGAACAAAAGTTCGAGATGTCAACTGGAATCGCTCAAGGAAGATTGAAAAAAGGCAGTAGATCCAAAAATGATCTATTAATTCATTTTACATTTGTCCTATCACTGGCGAATTTCGGATATAGATGAACACAGGTAAAAATTTTCTCCCATTATTTTCTTTCCCATTTCGAACACATTCGTCCGATAAAATTTCCTTCTTCAAGAAAAATTAGCCTGAAAAAAGGTTTTTCCTTCATTAAACGTACTCAATCTATATTCTTTCTCCTACTGAGTTTCATACATCATCAGAAATTAGTCCGCGAATTTTTCTTCGCTACACACATCGAATGACATAGGCGCTATCTAATGTGTTTTATTTATTTCATATTCTAACTAACCATACTGCTACAAAAAAACTTTTCGAATTGGGTTGAACTTCGTGCAGTGTAGGTTACAGCAGACAAGTCACGAAAACCGTCCCCTCTCGGTATAACAGTCAGTTTTAATGTGAAGAATCCGTTTTCGTTTAGTACTTTATCATGAATCTCAGACAAACAGTCGATCCCAATGGATATTATGCAAGACTAAATCGTGGAGAAATAAATTTAAGTTATCGTTATGTTGCTGAGCAACAATGTGTACGAAGTCGAAGACATTTACCAGCAATTGAGAATGAGATTCACAACGTTGCTCAAAGAATTTTGCTTCGACTAATGAAAGGTGAGTCTTGACACAACAGGTTAAATCGCTATAGTGGCAAATATCTACTTTTTCTTAGGAGGCCGAAATGATTATGTTAGTGCAACAGGTCAAGAGACAATTTCACGTTCACATTGTGCCTACCTCCGACGTGTTTACCAGGTGAGTAAACATACTAATTGGATTCTGTAATTTGAATGTTACTTACTGGTTCTAAATACTATGCATTCAAAAAAGAAAGACTACGAACGGTTCTGTTTTGCTTCCTTTTAGTTCAATCGACGATATCGTACCTCTGC